ATTAATTAGCATAATCTCTCTTGGAATAAGAAAACTATTTTAGGCAATTAGTCTCCCCTCTCCATTTCCCTTCTGTGCTACATTTTGTTAAAATGACCAAGAACCTAGCTCCAGACTTGTTCAACTATTATTATTTTTAACATTAAAGTTCTACCTCCTTCAGGGATCTTTCAAGATAAATGTATTCAACTTCACTGTCATGTTCTGGAAATTACTTTTTGGCTTACTAATATTTCTTCTCCTGAGTCTTTGCTTCTTGGCTTGATTTTTTGTGTGATATTTTAGTATATTCTATAGTATTTTGTTTTTAAAGGTATGAATTTGCATATTCCTGAAAGTTAATTTTGTTCTTATACTTAAATGATCGTTTGGCTGAGTACAGAACTCCAGGTTTGGAATACTCACAGTGAGACACAGTGTTCAAAGCGTGGTCTTTTTTTTTTTTTTTCTTTTATCCTCACCCGAGGACATTTTTCCATTTTTTGTTCAGATAGAGTGGGAGAAAGAGAGTGAGAAACATCGATGTGAAAGGGACACATCGAGTGGCTGCCACCTGCATGACCACCAGGGCCGGGGACAAACTGCAACCAAGGTACAAAGCGTGGTCTTTTAAGTGTCGTGCATAACAAGCCTGACGTCGTTCTGATTCTCATTCCTCGACCACAGCTTGTCCTTCCCTGGAAGAGTTCACGATTTTCGTTTAAGCTATGGAATTAAGGTAGTTTGCCAGGATGTACTTGTATGCCACTATCAACTAGACCTTTCAGTTTCCAGACTCTTCTATCCTCTCTAGCAAATTTTCTTCTACACATGTTTGCTTAGATACACAATGTCTATCCTTGATATATTATCTCTGTCTTCTAGTTTTTCTCTCACCTTTCATCTCTTTATTTTTTGCTCTATGTTCTGAGATATCCTTGACTTTCATTTCACCAATTCAGAATTCTGGGACTTTCCAGTTTGGTTTTCAACCCTTCCTCTGAGTTCCAATTTTTTTTTTGGTATGTGCCCTAGGGGGAACTGAACCCGGGACTCTCTGGTCTGCAGGCCGATGCTCCAACCACTGAGCCAAATTGGCCAGGGTTGAGTATGTTTGATGACAATCCATTAAAAAAAAATTTTTTTTTTTTACTGAGAGAAAGAGATATTGACGTGCCATTCCACTTACTTATGCATTCACTGGTTGCTTTTTGTATGTGCCCTGACCAGGGACTGAACCTGCAACCTTGGCTCTGGGGGCAATGCTCTAACCAACTGAGCTACTCGGCCAGGGCAATAATCATATTCTTAATTTCCAGAAATTTTATCCCTTTTTCAAAGAAGCTGGTTGTTTGACTTGTGAATAATATCTGTTAAATTATCTCTGAAGATAGTAATTAATATTTTAAAAGTTCTCTTCTATCACTTCTTAGCTCACCTGGGTTCTTCTTTTTCATGGTGCTTGCTGATGATTCTTTGCTGTCTGGTCACATTACAGAGGGAGGCTGAAGCAAGATGAAATGCGTATCGCGGCCTCGGACAGCACTGCTACGCGGCTGCCCGCACTTCCACGGGAGGCCTTTCCGCAGGAGGGCGAGATCCCCGTGCCCAGCGCGAAGTGCACAGGAAGGCCGGGCCCTTTCACTGGGGAGGTGTGAAGGTTTACTTCAGGAGCACTGGAGCGTATTTATTGTTGTGCAGACCTGCTCTCTCACTTCCCCCTTTACATCCGTTTTAAACGTTCAAAACTACTTTTCGTCATCTGTAGTCTGAGTCCTAACATATGGAGTCTTTGGAGGCACATCCCTATTTTATTTGAGAAATCTGGCCTTACTGGCTTTAGCTGGGGAGCAAAAGCCACAGCCAGGCTCTAGAGTAGTAATTCTCAATCCTTGGCTGCAAACTAGAATCACGTAGGAGAGTTAAAAAAAAAAAAATCCCCTGTGGCCTGAGGAGTTCCATCCTCTGAGGTTTGAGACTTTTGTTTAACTGGTCTGGGCTGAAGCCTGGGCATCACAATTTTAAAAGCTCCCAGGTCATTCTAAATTCAGCCAAAGTTGAGAACTACTACACGAGAGGTTTACTGGCCCAGCTGTTCCATATTGTTTTCTAACAAGCCTGAGGACTGCCCCATGGCCTGCTCCGGCTCCCTGCACCAGCTCCCTGCACCAGCTGCCTGCGAGCTTGGAGTCCTGCCCAAGCTTGTCGAGAAGAACGGCATGTACCTCTGCAGAGGTCTTCTCTACACCTGTTTTGGGTTGTGTTTTGAGTCTAGTTTCCATCAGTCCAATTTCACCTACTTTACATATTCCAGAAATTTTTCATAATTTCGGATCCACTTCTTGGATTCTCCCTGATTTCCAGCATTAATATGGGTTTTTCCTCTCTTTTGAAGTCATTCCCCATCTTGCACGTCAGTGGGATTTTGAGAGGGGAAGGAGGTGAGAGGAAAGGGTACTCCAATAATCTGAATCCCGAAGATCACTCTTGACATTTTCACATTTGAAAATCACTGCCCTTTGTCTGTATTACTTGCAGGCAAATGTGGTTGAAAGCACTGTGCCACAAGAGGCCAGAGGGCCACGTCCAGCCAGCACTTCGACGTAGTGACCCCAGGCACGGAACTGAACACAGCAGAAAATGTGGGCGACCGGGAGTTAGGGGAAGAGGTGCTGCTGGCTATTTAGAGCCTTGTGTCAGTCAGACTGGATTTTCTGTGAAAGCAAAGCTTAAAAGTAACAATGTAGCCACTACAGGCAATTAAACTAAAGTGTGATGACTAACAGTCATAATAATGTCAATTAGAATAACTTAGAACACAGTGACTTTTTTAAAATGGAAAAAGGACAACACTGAATAAAAATTACAAGATGGTCATCTTAATTGAGGTAAGAAAAAGCACACCGGAATAGTGCTTGTTAATATACTGAAGATAATTTTCTATCATTCCTATAACTTTCATAAACATTTAGAATTCTATCACAGAATGTTTAGGGCGCGTGGGACCTTGGAAGTTAAGAGGTCTACCACCTGCATCGCTGTATAGGAAGGAAGCTGAAGCTGAGAGCGACAAGGCCCAGATAGAGCCACTGAAGCCAGAATCCAATCTCTTGACTCCTGGTCTAGGTATTTCTTCAACATTATACATTCTGAGCTCTTCTTCATTTATTCTAAACCTTATTGTGAATAACAGCTACCTAAACACTTCAAACTTCAACAGTACAGCAATACTACTTATAACTATTTCCAATTTGTTTTTATCCTCACCTGAGGACATTTTTCCATTTTTGTTTAGATAGAGTGGGAGGGAGAGGAAGAGGAAGAGAGAGAGACAGACAGACAGACAGACAGACAGACACAGGAAGAGGCAGAGGCAGAGGCAGAGGGAGAGGGAGAGGGAGAGGGAGAGGGAGAGGGAGAGGGAGAAACATGGACGTGAAAGGGACACATCTAGTGGCTATCTCCCACATGACCCGAACCAGGGCTGGGGACGAATCACAACTGAGGTACATGCCCTTTACTGGAACCGAACCCACAACTCATTGGTCCACAGGCCGGCACTCTAACTGCTGAGCCAAACTGGCCAAGGCCAATTTTTTATTATTTTTTAATCCTCACCCAAGAATATTTTCCATTGATTTTTAAATTTTATTTTAGAGAGCGGTGAGAGGTAGGAAGGAGGGGGAGAGAGATACATGGATTGGCTACCTCCTGGGGCCAGGGATCAAACCTGCAACCCAGGTTCATGCCCTTGACTGGGAATTGAACCCATGACCCTTCAGTGCTCGGGCCGACACCTAACCACCGAACCACACCAGCCAGGGCCCTATTTCCAATTTTAAAACAACGACTAATTTGGGCTAATTTGCCAGACTCATTAAAATAAAATATGGGTCCAAAATATATATAACATTAGAGTCTTTATTTTCAAATGGGCCTTTTATAGTAGTTCATGTTGCCATCTTTGTTTAGTGATTTGATTTTTTTTCCTTAATGGAAGTAGTCCTATCTTCTCCCATCCAAGTACTAACCAGGCCCGACCCTGCTTAGCTTCCGAGATCAGACAAGACTGGGTGCGTTCAGGGTGGCATGGCCATAGACAAGTCCTATCTTCTCACAACTCTTTTTTTGAAGTATTTCAGCTAAGTAAATGGCATCTTTCAAACATTTATCCATACCAAAGCATCCACTGAGCACCAAGTGTATATAAGGTGCTATAGGTGAGGCTGGAAACAAAAGGATGAAGAAGTCTAGTTCTCAAGCACTCAGTGTCCCAGGGAAATGGGCAAATGCTGATTACACTAGTAACTGACAAGCTGTGTACACAGTGGTATATACAATGTGCTCTGGGAGGAAGGATGACCAATCATCCAAGACCTCGGTAGTATCCTTACACCCAATTTAGCAAATGGAAAAATAGAATAGCCTCAGGTCACTCGATAAATGGCAAAGCGGACCTTGTCCCCAGGTCTCCTGAGGTAGAACAGAATGAATACTATCATCCCATTTTGAGCAAACCAAAATGATGAACTGTTTTTTATCTTGATGACAGCCAGTGTGATGGGTTTGAGAGGCCTGAAGGGCATTATAATCTACTGCACTGTTTAGCAGCTCTGTAACTGGTAGTCTATATAACTTCTCTAAACTCACTTTTCTCATCTTGGGATAATAAATCTTACCATATAAGGTTACTGTGAGAAATAAATGAATAAATATGTATGGCAACTCATACAGTTGTTAGCACACCAAGGAGACCATAGAGTAAGAATTCCCTGATGAATGGGATATGTTTATTCATTTGTTTGAGTTTGCAGAGGCTAGCACAGTACCTGGTACATACATGTTAAGTAAATGTTTACTAAATGAGATAGTTATTAAATAAATGTCAAATTAAAACTATTCTTAATATATATTCAGTATATTTATTTCTATAAGCAAGTTTTTAAAAAGAAATTTCCATTTCATCTACATTAATGGAGCCCAACTTTCAAGGACTAGTTGGCTCTCAGGTCAGTGCTTACCTTCTACTCTGGCTCCCTCATTTGGGAATGAATAGCCTTCTCCTTTCCGTTTGATTCTTCGGATAATTCCTCCATCTTCAGATAAATCCTCTCCTTTGAAATCAAGAAGCTCAATCTAGAAAGGAAAAAGATTTGGCTGAGAAAAGATCAAACAAAGCCAATTTAACATACTTAACGGCAAGGGCAACCAATTCTCCTTTCATTTTACAAAATAAAGCTGTTTTATGTTTATCTATGCACCTTAGTTTTTTGGAAGAGTAGGAAAACAAGAACACTGCACTTTCAATACCTGGAAAGAACCTTCATGTAATGATAATGTCTGAGACCACATCCTGTGGGAGCCGTGCAAAGACAGACAGGAAATACTAGGAAAACTGCCTGGCGGGCAGAGCGCCAGACTGCAAAGTGCCGGCCCAAAGCTGTTTGTCTGACTTGAGACACCACCACTTTTCCATCCCAGTTCATGAAATTCCCTTCTTAAAATGTAAGAATAAATTCTATGAAATCAAGCCTCTAACCACCTAAGGGTGTATTTTACCTAGTTATGCTGTTTCAGGCATTTCCTACCCTCAATTTTAAGGTCAGGTTTGGCCAGATACACATAATTCAGCACACAATGAATAACGTATTATCACCCCTACTGTGTCTAACGAGATCTGTGACATTTATAAACCTTTATAATATGAAAATACCTTAAGACTTGATCTAGGCACACTTCAACGTTTATTTCCACATTTGCATCCTGTCTTCTGGTCGATTTTAACGTCATACTCACACCACTGACTAGAACCTTTATTCCTATGCCTGGTCACTTGTTTATTTGGCTATGACCTTTTTGTGCCAGAGACACGTTTCTAAGAAAGCACTGGCACACAAGCCTTGGGTTTGTGGGAAACAATTCAAGAAGCCAAGCTCCAAAATAAATAAATTGGATCTCATTCTCAATAGCAAGCTCAGCTCCTTGTTCCACTCCCTGTAGCTTCAGAACCAGCACCAGAGCAGAGCAGATGCTAACAAGGCAGCCTCACACGCATACTTGCCTCAAAAAAGAGAGTTGCATTCGAGGGAATTTTGGGGACACTGCCAGCTGAGCCATATGCATATTCTGGTCTGCACAGTAAATGACACATCTCTCCTTTCTTCATGGAGGCCACCCCAATGTCCCATGCCTTGATAACTTGGCCTGAAAGAAAGAAAAAGGGGAGGGGCTGAAACTGTAGTTATGCTAAGTATTAAGTCTTGGTTCACTGATGTGGGCTTAGCACACATCTGAACCAGTTGTTTCTTTTTTAACCAAAACTATAGGCCATATTAAAAAAAAAAAAAAGATTTAATTGCCATAACACAAAAGTTAAAACGAATTTCCAATTCTTTACATTACATATTCAGGTAAGAAGCGTTACAAAAGAATTCAGTAAAAGCTACACACTGAGAAATAAATTGTGAGTTGTTTTTTTTAGGGCTTCTACAAGATACCCTACTGAGAAGGATGAAAGTATCAATTTCTCAACTGCTGAAAGATTAAGTCTTTGAAAAGTGGCAGTAACATAATCTTTGAAATGTGGTAGGTTGCAATTGTTGCTTAACTTATAATTTCAACCATAATAATAAGCGAATCTTTTCTAGGCAGAGATGAAACAAAAACAGTATAGAAAACGAAATTTGCCCTGGCCAGGTAGCTCAGCTGGTTAACAGTGGTTTGCAGGTTTGATCTCCAGTCAGAACACATACAAGAAACAACCAATAAATGCATAAATAAGTGGAACAACAAATTGATGATTTTCCCTCTCTCTCTCAAAAATCAATCAATACATCTTTTAAAAAATGGAATTTGTCCTTAAGAAGCTTATAATTTAGTCAGGTAGACAAAAACAAGAAACATCTGGAAAAGAATAAACTCCATAAAAGAGCCTATAAAATAAATTTTTTTTTCCCCTTTGAATTTAGGGTAAGGAAAAAAACAACACCTGTTCTTTTCTTTTTGTTGTTCTTTTTTTAAGAAAAGCAAAATGAGCCTGGCCGGTGTGGCTAAGTGGTTGAGCGTCAACCCATGCACCAAGAGGTCGTTGGTTCCATTCCTGGTCAGGGCACATGCCCAGGTTATGGGCCCGATCCCCAGTGGGGGGCATGCAGGAGGTGGCCAATCGATGTTCTCTCTCATTGATGTTTCTCTCTCTCTCTTCCTCTTTCTAAAATCAATAAAGAAAAAAAATTGAAAAAGAAAAACAAAATGGTATGTGTTCTTTAGTCAAATCACAAGAACTACAGAGTTCAGAATTTTACCTTTTGCCTAATTCCTAGAAACTAAAAGTTAATCTTACTGCTCAACTATAGAACTATATTAGCCTACAGAATCGTATCTTAAAAAGTCTCATCCTTTGGGAAACAATAGAAAATGTAGGTAATTTAAAGGGACAAAGTACAAAATTAAGGTGCTATGTCAATCAAAAACTTAAGTATTCACAGTGAGGTCAGGTAAACAATGAACCCCAGAGGAAGTGAATTCCAAAGACAGCTGATATTTGAACTGAGAGCTGGTGGTAGGATGTTAGAATAAGGGAAACCCTATACTAAGGTATGTAAAAAGGGAGGGATAAAGCATTCGAGACTTACAACTTCAGCATAGTTTACAGTAAGTATTATAACTTTAAAAAATATCAGATACACTTATTTTAGTTAAAAACTTATACAAAATATGCCCTGGCAGGTTTGGCTCAGCGGTTAGAGTGTCAGCCTGTGGTCCAGAGAGACCCAGGTTCAGTTCCCGCTAAGGGCATGTACCCCGCTTGCGGTTTGTCCCTGGTCCTGGTTGGTCGTGTGGGTGGCAGCCACTCAATGTGTCCCTTTCACGTCGATGTTTCTCTCTCTCTCTCTCTTCCTCCCACTCTATCTGAACAAGAAATGGAAAAATGTTCTTGGGTGAGGATAAAAAAAAAAACTTATACAAATTATTGCCCATTATTCAAACATGTAAAAGATAAAAGGTCATCCATATCCTCCTTGTAAGAAGCGCTGTTATGTTTCTTTTGTATCTTTCCAGTGTGTGCTGTTGCTTTTTAAAAAAATTTAAAACACAAACGACAACATACAGTACATTCAGTTCTGAACTGCCTTTTTATTTAATATGTAACAGATGCTCTGCGACTTATGACAGGGTTACATATGGATAAGCCCATTGTAAGCTGAAAATACCATCAGTCGAAAATGCATTTAATGCACCTAACCTACTGAATATCACAGCCTAGCCCAGCCAGTTTCTACTGAATGTGTAATGCTTATCTACATGTGTAAGTCAAACCTCAGTAAGTCAAGGACCATCTGTATCCTGACCTTTCTGTCAACAGAAAAGAGAATATGCACTTTAGAGGTTCAAAGTGCAGTCTGCTTGGACCTCAGACTGTCTGGATTTCAATACCAGGTCTGCCCCAAACTAGTTGTGTGACCTTGTGCTAGTTATTTAACTTCTGTGCTCAGTTTCCTTATCTGTAAAATAATAATAGATACTAATACCTGCCATAATAATCGTAGTACCTGCCATATAGCTATTTCAAGAATTACTGTACTGAGTATGTCAAACGCATGGCATAGTGCCTGGCATGTAATATGTATTTAATAAAGGATAAGAGCATTACCATCGTCATCAATACAAACAGACCAACCTTGTTCTCATTGACTGTGTAATACTCCAGTCGTTGTCCTATTGGCAAACAGATTACCAACAGTACTGTAATAAGAACATCTGTCCATATATATTTGCCTACTTTGAGCAAGTTTACTTGGAGAGTAAATGCCCAGAAGGACAAAGGTTATGTGCATTTTCAATTTGACAGATGTTGCCCAACTGCCCTTCTAAAATGGCTACGTCAGTGTATGTGCCCACATGTGACAGCAGCCCCAGCCCATCAGAAGTGGCGAGTGTGCTGTAACTGGCCGCTTTCCTGTCACCGATGCTCTTCAAAGACCGTTAAGTTTTAGTGTGGGCCCCCAAGAATATGCTTTTAAAACTATCAACTGATATTTTAAGACATTTAAATAACTTACACAGTCCTTCAGAAAATCTTTATATTGTGGGGGTTCTACTGTTCATTTGTTCAAGACATTTAGCCAATTACTGTGGAGAAAAGTCTGTCTAGGTGCTAAGAATACAAAGGTGGCCGTTCCCTTCTTCCTTAAGGAACATGCAATGTAGTATGGCCAGTGGAGGAGAAAAAGACATGTACTGTTTTTTTCTTCTTTTTTAAAACAAAGTATGGTAAACACTAATAGTCTATAAATAAGGGGCATTTGCCTTGGGGTGAAGGTTGGTGTAATGAGCAAAAGCTCAATTCATAGATGGTACATATGCTAGGCCTTAGAAGCTGGAACCTCCACCTGTGAAACCCTTAGGAGCCTCAAGCTAAATAAATCATGCCTGTACCTTTGCTTTGCTTCTCATTTGAGAATATTCAAGCTTCTCTTACCAAATAAAACACACAGAGGAAGCCAGAATGATATGGACACAGGTATGTTTCTAAAATTGCCAACACTGGGACTCTTGTCTTAATAAACATTTCCCCATATAAAAAAAAATAACACACATTCATTATAGAACTCTTGGAAAGTATAGAAAAGCAGAGAGAATACAATAAAAAAACCCTCTGAAATCTCAGCATCTGAGGTAAACTGTCTATTTCTTGGTTCATTTCCTTCAAATTATACAGAGTGGGGCAAAACTGGGTTTAGAGTTGTGAGTACGCAAAACAGATTTTATTTTATTCTTGTATTTTTATTATTGTATTATTTTCCATATAAACAACTGTAAACCTACCGTTACCCCACACTATATATGTAGACTCTGCACAATAAATTTTTACACTCTTAAAATTCTTGTCAGTTTATTTGGTCTTGTAGTTTGCTCTTTATGTTTCATATTACATGAGCATTTTTCTTTTTCTTTTATATTTTATATTTTGTATTTTTTGTTAATCCTCACCTGAGGACATTTTTCCATGATATTTTTATTCTTAAAGAGACAGTAGAATGGAGGAAGACAGAGGGAGAGAGAGAGAGAAAGGAAAAAGTGTGAGAGAGACATCAATTTGTTGCCTCCCACACGACCCCAATTGAACCTGCAACCCAGGTACGTGCCCTTGATCAGAAATAGAACCCATGACCGTTTGGTCCATGGGCTGACGACGCTCTACCGCTGAGCCAAACCGGCCAGTGTGCATTTTTCTTTCTAAAATATAGTAATTGAGCCCTGGCCAGTGTTGTTCAGTGGTTAGACCATCAGCCCTCGCACCAAAGGGTCATGGATTCGATTTCCAGTCAAGGGCACGTACCTGGATTACAGGTTTGATCCATGGCCCCAGTTGGGGCACATGTAGGAGGCAGCCAATTGATGTGTCTCTCCAACATCAATGTTTGTCTCTTTCTCTCCTGCTCCCTCCATCCCTTCCACTCTCTCTAAAACACACACACAAAAAAACAAAAAACCAATGGAAAAAATATCCTCAGATGAGGATTAACAACAAAAGACGGCCCTGGCCAATTTGGCTCAGTGGTTAGAGCGTCGGCCTGCGGGTTCGGTTCCCGCTAAGGGCACGTACCTCAGTTGCAGTTTGTCCCCCGCCCTGGTTGGGTCGTGCGGGTGGCAGCCACTTGATGTGTCCCTTTCACGTCGATGTTTCTCTCTGTCCCTCTTTCTCCCTCTCTCTCCCTCCCACTCTATCTGAACAAAAAAATGGAAAAATGTCCTCGGGTGAGGATAAAAAATTTAAAAAAACAACACAAAAGACAGTATCTGAAAACGACTTTATTTTTTTTATTAAATTTAATTTTTTCCATCACTATTTATTCCCCCTACCCTTTTCCACTTCCCCCACCCTCCCTTCCAATCACCACACTGGTGCCCTTGTCCATGAGTTCTTTCTCTTTTATTTTTTCCTTTGTTGCTCAATCCCTCCAAGTCCCCTGCCTCCCTCCCCACTCCCCGCCCAGAGCTGACGGCTTGCTCTTTATCTATGAGTCTGTCTCTACTTTGCTTGTTAGTTTATGAAAACATGACTTTTAATGACTATGTACTATTTCAACCTTTTGGATTTACCATTTCATTACTTCTATTAATAAACATGTTAATTGGTTTGTATTATTTATTTATTTATTTTTTACTATTATAAAATTTCAATGAACAATTGAAATCTT